ACAGCGTTAGAAAATTTGCAAATCTTGGTTAAGCGTAAAAGACACAAAAAAAACTCAACAAAATGAGAGTTTAGAGAACTGCAAAAATAAGTTTTTATAGCAACCGTTATAAAGAAAACACACACACGCAAAGTTGAGAAAGCTACTTGCAAGTAATACTAACTACTACGAACCTTTTGCTACTACTAATATTTAATGCCTACTATATACTAGTTGTACTTTAATATTGATTTCCAAATTTATAATTTGTATATACTTATATAAAATTCAAAATACACTCCAAGTGCTTAAGCCAATTCAAAATCTAAAAAAAAAAATGAAACAAAAATTATAAAAATTAACAAAACAGAAAATGAAAAAAAAAAACAAAAGAAAATGAAAAAACATTCGAATTAAATGTCGCTGCGCGCTGTCATTAGTCCTTGCAGTCTCTGAATGCGTACACAAAATCGCCAGTTTGTGGGCGTGCTCAAGCTGTGGGCGTGCCAGTTGCGTATGCGACCAAAAAAAGTAAACCCAATCGTTTAAGAGAAATTTGATTTTGTTCTGTTGAAACTAATAGAAAAAGTAAAGCTTGACAGCCGCATAAAAAAAAAAACAAAAAATATTTAATTATATACTAAAAGTCATTACTCTAAGTTTAATTAATATTTAGTTAGTAAGCCTAAAACAAGAAGATACCAACCACACACACAATTTGTAATGCATAATTATTTTTTGTTTTTTATATGCAAGTGGAACATATAACTAATATTATAGAGTGAAAGAGAAAAAGAAAAAGAAAAGAGAAATAATGCAAAACTTTATATAAATATTGTATAATACTAATACTAAATTATTTTGTTATACGAAACAATAGAAATGCATTCAACGTTTTTTGTAATTCTATTAAATTAAAACAATTTAAACGAGAAATAAACCTTTACAAAAAAAAAAAAAAAAATTAATAACATAATCTGACATGTGTTTTTAGTCACAGACATTCAAGAAATATTTTCATTTATTGTGTATATACAAAAGTGTAACAAGTATTTTTTGTCGATTTGCTAGCGTTTTCTGTTCGCCTGGTAATTTGCTCAGTCAATCAAAGAAAATTATGTTGGAAACATCGATTAGCCGAGATACTAAAAAAAACTTTAAATGGCTATATCTCGGTTAAATTAAGTCAGATTATGTCAAGATATATCTTGTTCATCTCGTGAATTTACATAGAATTGAATGGAATCGAAAAATTTTGATTTCAGAACAGACCCCATTTTTGATAAATTTGTGATGTTACCCCTTGCCATTTTGATGAAAATTGGTAAAATCTCAAAATGGAAATATTTGAATAGAAATCGATAATCGGGGTCCGTACGAGTTCAAAAGGCTATATCATTCGAAAATCCGACCATATTTACCTGAAATATACAAGTTTGAAGTCGATGACTCGGTCCAATCTGGGGAAAGCTTTGTATCTACAAACTTGTTTCGATAACACGTTTTTATGGATTGCAAATAAATAAAATATCGTTTTATGTAATGGAATTGAATTTATTTATGTTAATTTTCAGTTTTTTTTTTTTTTTTGACACATTGAAATTTGGTATTTGTAGTATTTGCCTTGCCTCCATTTGGATTGCTATATTTCTGTTCTACACAAACATTTTATTAGTTAGACATTTAAATATATGAATGCAGACAATGTGTGTGTGTGTAAGTCTGTATATTATAGTTGCTAGCATTATGTACTTGTAATATCGGTTCTGTCATATGAAACTGACTAGAATGGCGCAGATAATTGGGGCGTGCCCATCATTTTTGTGCCTAACGGATGACTTTACAATAAGTTTTCTCTTTATTTTATTTTTGTCATGTATCTTGTGCTAAGCTGTCACAGAAAGGAACGTTTGAGGGGGGAAATAGTTACGAGTTAAACATTTATGCTAAAGTTCAAGTGCGAATTGCAGTTTATGCGTTTAGTAAATATCAGTGTGTGCTTGTGTGTGTGTGTGTGTGTGTGCATGCATGTGTGTGTACGTCAACGCCAGCGCTGCCAGTTGGTGCTGCTAAATATACATATATTTCGGAACGCCCTTAATGTTCTCCTAACCAATAATATCGTGGGCACAATGCCGCAAGTCTTTTGTAAGCCTTTACAAATACAAATAGATGTATCGTTATATAATAAACATAAAACTAAATACATAGTTATAAATATACATATACAATATAGATCAATTGAAATTCGCTAAACCACGCTCGCCATACAGCTAAACTAAACATAAGTCAATCAATCAATCATCAATCGTCATCTGAACCAACTAGTTGGTTCAGAAATTCACAGAAATTGAGTGTTGCACAAACAAATTAAAATAAACAAACTAAAGGAGCGAGTTTTAAAGGGGGCGGAGTGTGTGTGTGTGTGTGAGTATGTGTGTGTGTGTGTGGGTGTGTCGTTGTTGTTGTTGTATATTAGCAGCAGGACAGCAGCGGGTGCAACAGCTTGGGCATTGGCATTGGCATTGTTAGCGTCAGGGCTGCGTCTTTTTTAATTGGAATCGTAAGCCGCAGCAGCCTGGTGCTGCGCCAGTGTCACCTGGCATGGCCGCTGCCGGCAGTTTGCGCCTTTGGCTGTTTGCCTGCACCAGAGCTGGCGCCACTGCCAGCTGCGGCGCCAGCTCCAGCTCCAGCTGCACCTGCGCCACCTCCACCAAGGGCAGCTGCGCCCGAGCTATGCGCTGCCTCGGCGCGCTCGCCACGATGATGATGATGGTGATGATGATGATGACGCCGGCCGCCGCGATAATGCCGACGATTGTGATGCTGATAGTTGTTGTTTGTGGGCTCCGGCAGGATACGCTGCGTCTCCTGCACCACGGGTGCAAAGTTGCTGGCGGCGGGCTTGGCCGGTGCCGTGCTGCCGGCAGCCTCTGGAGATGTGGCCAGTTTCTTGGCAGCTTCGGCCTCTTCGCGACGCTGGCGCCGACGCACATCCTCTTCGGTCTCTATGGCAATAACGGTGCCGGCCTCGGCCTCGGCATCGATAATGGCTCCACGACTCTTCTGCTGCAGATACAGCTGCGACATGCGCTGCTGCATCTGGCGCAGTTCCTGTGTTACCTGAAATTCGGGCGCATTCTCCAGCTCGGAGGGCGGCATTGCACACTTGAGGCTGTCCGACTCGTCGTGTATGTGCTCCCGGCAGACGGGGCACAGCGCCTGGAAGGGATCTGCAGTCTTTTGCAGCCAAGCCGGCAGCTTGTCGTACTCCTCCTGGTAGCTGCGACGCAGCGCATTCAAATGCCGTGCCAGGCAATAGCTGTGCAGGTAATGGAAGCACTCGGTCCGCGTGAACTCATCGCCCTCGCTAAACCCATACAAACAGATGACGCACTGGCCACTGGGCAAATTGCTGCCGGTCAAGTGCTCCCGCACCACCTCAATCAAATCGAAGACAACAGGCAGGCCGATCGACTCTTTGATCTTGGCGTTGCAAGCGCTGCGTATGGCCTCCAGGCGGCCATCGTCCAGGCCGCGTGGACGCAGCAGCTTGAACGTGGGACTCACATCCGGATAGCCAGGTGGGGGCAGCACCTGGAGCGTTACGCAAATATATTGCTGCTCGTCCTCCTCGCCGGTCAGCGGCAGCACCGTGGTCTCAATGCTGTCCACAGCGCCGCTGCAAGCAAGGCAGAAGCACCAAGCATTCATTCATGTGGTGAGAGGGTTATATTAATTGTGGGACTCACTTGGGACCTCGCGCAATGGTCACATCGTCCATGAGAATCGCCTCCAATGACTCCAATTCCTCGTCTAGCAAACTGCCGCAAAGTGCATGGGATGTGAAAAACAACAATAACTTCATTCGATTTTAGCTTGATACTTACGTCTCCATGTTCGTTGTTACTTTTGTTGGGGTATTTTGATTTGGTTTAGTGCCAATTTCTTAAATATTATAAAAAAATCGATTGAGACAAAAATTTTGCGCCTGACAACAACAACTCAAATGGGACAGTCGCAGTGCAACGTTGACAGGGCGGCCAGTCACAGCGATCGCTAACATGAGACAGCCGCTTATGTGGCGCCATCTAGTGCCTGCTAGACGAAACAAGTGTTTACATAGCCTTTAGCAGCCAGTTTGCCACAGCAGAGCTAACCCTACGACTATGTGTAGTTACAGGCTGTTACCGTAATGTTAAGAATACAGGCTCGCGCACTTTTTGAATAATTGAATAATGAAATTATAAATAGTGCTACAAAGAAATATTTTAAAAATTCTAATTTAAAATGTCCCAATTTATTACCTTTTCTTATTAGCCCTATAGCGAATTATGATTGTGCTCTTTAACATATGTATACTATTATGACTATTCAATTTATTAGAGCGTGTTCAACTATCTGTTTTTTACGATCTCCTTCTAATTTCCTTCAGTTAAATTGTATGTTTGTTATAATTAATGTTACGTAAAACTAAAACTTACATATGAACTTATTTTTATTATCTTATATATTTTCGTCTGCTCAACCTCCCTCTGTTTCTTTTGTTCTCTTTCTCTTAAAAACACTAATAAAAGGACCTCCCGCCATTCCCTTAAATCCTGCATACACACACACACACACATATACAATCTCTAACACACAGAAAGCTTAGCAGCCGCTAGGGGTTGGCTGTGTTTTGGGCTTGAATTTTTTTGACATCCTATCCAAAATAATTTATGAATTGAAAAATTTCCATGCAAGAGTCCTGCCGCCGCCCGGTTGCGTCAGTTCTCAGTTGTGTGGTGGTGTTGGTTTTGCTCGCTTTAGTGCTTTGGTGGTGCCTGTGGTGGGGTGGTGGGTTGGTGGGTTGGTGAGTTGTTGTTGTTTTCTCGTACGCTTTTCACCACAGCGCGCCGTCGTAAGCTGCTCGCGTTTGTTTATCGAATGTAGGAATTGAATTGAAATCGAATGAATATCGCACCCCAAGGCAGTCGCTATTAAATGGCACTGGCAGCATTTTCGTTGCTCGGCGCCAAGCGAAAAATCAGTTTACAACGGAAAGCACAAAGCGACGGTCGTGAGAACCGAGCAAAGCTATTCACGTGAAATTACAAAAAAAAAAAAAAATATATATATATATATATATAAAGAAAATTTAACGCAAAATTTGCGTTTGAATAAGAAAAGTTTTTGAAATTTCTGTGCGTGTGCGCGTATGTGTGAGTACTACATCAAATTCCAAGAGTTGTCAGTAAGTTGGTCAACAAGGATAATAAAACGGCGCGCTGTCAACTTGTGTCCTGTGTGAAAAAATCCGCCCCTAAACGGAACATCTAAAAAGAAGCTAAGCCAACCCAAAGTTTGGTACGTTGTGGCTTGAAATAAGAAGAGATGAAATAGCGCATAGAATTTCACAGCACTTTTGTCCTGACGTGTCCTGCGCACGCAGCACATGTACACACACACACACACACACACACACACACACATATGCATATAAGCAAAAAGGATGCACGTGCTTTGTCTATACTGAGACTTTTACAACTACAATTATTCATTTATGTCCCATTTAAATATTTACATTTTTGTGCATTTACAATTTCGCTAAGCAAAGAAATGCGAATTTACAAAATCAACAATCAGCGAATATTTTCATGCAAATTATTTGCACGACTCGCACGTCGAAGTTGTGTTATTTTTTGTGCTATTTTCATTTATTATTTATTGTTTTTTATCAATTTTACAAAGAAAAATCAAACAAACAAATTTATGCCCGTATGGGGGCAGCACGTGTTGCAGCAGCTCCAACAATTGCATAAAGCTCGTTAAACAAGATTGATGTGTATAGTATATTATATGATTTCAGTAATTTTGAGCAGATCATGTGATTGATTTTTGCATAACACATAAACATAAACCGTTTTTAGCCAGGGCAAATATTATATATCCAAGTGCTGTAAAACAATTTGATTTTCCCACAAGCTTTCCACGCCTGCTCTCTCGCACTCCTGCTGCCACAGTCCCTTTCTCGCTTTCTCTCTTGCGTTCCTGCTCTCTGGGTCCCATCTTCGTTGTGTGGTGAAGGGAAATTGCATTGAGGCTGGCAATGGCATTGGCTGGGGGTTGTTCTGCCCAAAAACGTAGAAAAACCTTAAAAGCTCACACTCAAATACAACCCCCTTCCTCTCGGATACACATTCGCGTCCGCAACTGTAGCCGCAGCAGCCCAACAGACCAACAGTTGATGCTTTGCCAAAAAAATAACACGAAAGTGAACTTTGTGCTTGGCTGATTGCATTTTGGCCCTGGCGAATGCCAGTCTCACTTTCCATCTCCCTCCCACTGCCGTGGCCAGAGTGAGAGCGAAAGTGCCGCTAAACTGTGCATACATATATATATGTAGAAGAGAAGCTCTATATAAGGTACTGGTTCTTTACTTTTTTTTTTTTTGGCATTTCCCGAGTGCAACCGTCAACCTGATGAATTGATCTTATCCGTGCCGCAAAAGTTTTCTATGCACTTGCCCCTGAGAAGTGTCGCACTCAAATTTTTCGTAGTAGCACTGGGGAGTGCCTTACATATATCAGCTGCTTTTGCATGCCGTATAATCATGGGTTTCCATGGAAACGAAACCAAATAAGCTGCCTTTTGCGAATCTAGAGCGAAAAACAGCTGAGTTACAATCGGCTACAGTTGCTTGGATAGTTCATCGACTTTCTCTTTACTTTTAATTAAATAGATTTTGCATATTTAACGTTAAGGAAACTATGCAAATCAAAAATTATTAATCTACAGCAGAAAACAGCTGAGTTACATGGGCTTAAAAATAAGTAAATGGCATATCATTGTATATCCCAATATTATTCATACTTAAAATTGTAAAAACAAACTCAACGAGACTTTGTTTGCGGACTTACATCCACAAGGATCTGAGTTGCATGAGGCTTTAAATTGATGGATAACTATCCTGATGATCTGCTTATTAATCGATGATGAGAGAAAATAGATACAAAAGCAACAAATATAAGAGTTCGGTTTGGCTTTAATTTGGTTCCATTGGAATAAAGACCAGCCGCCGGCTTTAATTAGCAAGTGCATGGTATCGTTATTTACTCTTTAATCTATAGATATTCCATAATTTAAGACACCGTTTGTTGACATAAGATTGCACAAAGCAACGCTACAATAGGTTTACAATAAATGAATGAAACTTTGTGTAAGTATCTACCATAAATTATTATAATCTATGCATTTTCGCTAGAAACGGAACTGAACAAATCTTGAAAAACTAACCTAGAGCAACCATAAAGAGAGCTCCAATAGATAATAGTTAGCGCAACATCTATTGAATATTTTAAAAATTTTCCGTAACAGAGCATCTATCAAATACTTAGAAAATTTTCCATAGTCCCAACAGCTGTGCCACCCATCAGTTGCATGTGTTTATATAAGAATTCTGGCAAGTTGCAATAGACCAAGGTTAGGGATGCATAAACAATACAAGCCAGATGAAATACAAAACCATTCAATGGAGCAGTTTAAGCCAAACCCAAAGCAGTTTGAGCAGAGCCAAGTGGCTCCAACCAGTCCAGCCCAGTCTATGCCGCTTCAAAAGACTAGCACAGATTTCCAAGAAGCCAAGGCGGGGGTGCAGGCGCAAGCAAAGCTGAGAGAGAGAGAGAGAGAGAGAGAGAGGGGGCGAGAGAAAAAAAGGTGGGCGGCAGCGGGTGGTGCACTTTAATTTTACCATCGAATATATATTACATAGATTTTCGGCGCCAAATGAATTACTTTCATTGTTAGTTCAGAAAAAAAATCAAATAAGAACTTTGGATGGGGTGCGACCACTTGCTCAATACTCTCTACACAGTTTCAAAAAACAGCATTTTTGAGTCGTTTCCTTTCTTTTGTGACTTGTGTGGCCTGGGTGGACTGGAAGAGATTTGTTTTGGATCCTTGGAGAAACTCAATAATCCACCTCTGTCATATATTTATATAGCCTAGTATATAGACTAGTATATATGCCAAATTTTCACCTTGCCTAAGTACAATATACTCTTTATCTTTCTCCGAACAGGGTATACAAATTAGAAAAAATAGTTGTTCAAGAGCAGAGGCCAAATGTAATGCCTGGGCTAGATTTCGCCGAGTGCCTCACATTGCAAATGCCAAAATGCATCGAAACAAAAATAGCTGAAAAATTATGTATATGCAGCTATTAACATGGCTATTGCCAGTGTGTTTACAAGTGCAGCGACTGTGTGTGGGCCTGGAAGAAATTACGAATGCGAAAAAAGCCATAAAACTTTGCAAATCGACGGCATGAATCGAATGTGTTTTATAGGCAATCACACTGCATGATTTATGTAAAATAGTTAAGACCCCAACAACTATCTCGCTCCGGCCCTGCATCTGCTTCGCCCTCTCACTCGGGTCAAGCCGCGTCGACTACCTCAATTCGCTTATCGATTTGCTCTGACAAACACGCCATGTCAAATGCACTCAGGCTCCCCCGTGTGCCATATCTGGCAACCCTTCCTTCCAAAACGTGTGTCTGTGTGTGCTTTGAACTTGCCGGAGCTAGCGTCAGCAGCTTTAAAGCAACCCCGCGCGCACCCTACCTGGGCCAAGCTGTTTAAGAGGGTTGAACTTTAAATACCCTATAAACACAAATTGTGTGAACAGAATATGTTTGCGAAGCAGAAAACTTTTGTGATTATGCAAGCAACCTATAAAAATACTTAAGATCTTCTCCTTCGCGCTCACTTATATCTTATTAATCTTGGGGTCTTTACCATCAAAGGCTATTAAATTTATTTTGCATTCTGCTCAAAAATGTTTACAATGATGTTATAATATATAATAAAAGACTATCGTTTAAATATGTACTGCGATGCATATATTGAAAAAAGAGAACATAATTTGCCTATTAAAAAAAAGCATAGCTATCGATCTCTTTATACTATATTTGATAATGATTAGATATTATTGGTAATCATATAAAATTATTGTTCAAAATGATAATAATACTTTTCATACTGAAAGCACATAAGGATATATAAACAAATATATTAGATACGGTGGATATATAGATAGCGTTGTTAAAGCTGATAAAAAACAAACTCTGCACGGATTAGTTTATTTACAAGTTTGACAAATTAACGGTTTCTCTTATAGCATTGACTACAGGGCATTTGCTAGGCGAGCATTCCGCCGACCGAGCGCTCTTTCCTGTTTTAAATATAATTTTGGCACGACGCAATTTCGAAATGTCCTTTATTCGGGTTTTCAAGTTGAGCCGCACTGAAGAGACACCAATACAAATGCGAAATGGCAAGCTTTTTGCTAGCACGTGTGAGTGTGTGCGGGGTCGCCTGTGTGTATGTGTGTGTGTGTGTGTGTGTGTGCGTGATAGGTAGCGTCGTTTTAGGGGTTATGCGCCTGGTATATTTCCATTCATTTAAAATTTATTTTTGTGTCAGTTCGGCTAAAAAAAAGTGCTTTGCTATTTGCGGCGCTCACTGGTGAAATAAATCTGTTTGCATTGCTCGGTTATGTAATTGGGCCTGTGAGGGGATATGAAATCCATGTCTATATATATATATTGAATAAATTGATGGACCTTTTTGGTATAGTATTTGCTGAGCTATTCGCTTGGCCTATCTGAGTGGCCGAACAAAGCCGTTTGGCTTCTATTAGGCGTTCAGTCTTGGAGGCTATTATTGAGTAATTTCCTATAAAAACAGTTTAGGCATTGTTTTGCAGACCACTCAGTGGCTAACACTCACACATACACACACACACATATGCACAGCGAGACGCTGACAGGGCCAGGGCCAGGCGTGTCCTGCGAAAAGCAAAAACTTGACAGCTTGAGCTTTATATAGAAAAAAGCCGGTAGGGCGGTTGGGCGCTTAAGCCTCGAAAGACGTAAGCCAGCTGGCCAGGTGGTTTAACAAAAACAAACAAAAAAAACCAACAAACTGCGACGGAGAAATCACAGCTTAGCAGCAACAACAACAGCAACAACAATAAAATAGAGAAAAGAACAACAATAGCCACAGCTCGGCGATGGGCATTCGCAGGACGTTTATATTTGCGCTCAGTTTTACGTAACGTAAATGGGATTGTGTAATCAACGGAGTGAAAAGATTGAAAGGCCAAGATGAACGGACAACAATGCGTGCACAACAACAAGAGCAACAACAACAACAACAATAACTAGAACAACAACAACAACAGCAATTGTAAGGACTGGGTCAAGGGTGTTCGCTGTTCGCCAAGCTAGAGAATTAAAATGCGTAATGTTTTGTTTTTGCCTTTTATGGCATGTAATAATATTTTCAATTATTGCAATAATTAATTACAAATATTGTCGGCCTATGAGTTCCGGAACATAATGCCTATATGCCAAAGAAAATTGTACGAAATACGCAATAGCCGTTGGCTGTTCGGCTGCCAAAGACGTCATAGCGCATTACGTATACGCAATGTTGGACAAGCCAAGAACATCAACAACACAGATACAAACATGTACACACATAGTGTGCGCCTCCTACCTAGGCGCATTTTGGCATCAATGAAGCGACTGCCGCAGCAGGACGCCAACAAAAAGCTCTTCGCTTAGCTTTTACCAGACTCTCTCGCTCGCCCTTTGCTAGCCTCTGCTCTATCTTTCGCTGTCTCTCACTTGTGGTGAGTTTCTATTCAGTTTGTGCAGCTGCTGCTGCTTCTTGCTGCACAGCTGCTTACACACACACCCACGCAGCGTCTGCTCTCTGTCCTTTCTACTCCCGCTCTCTTTGGCGGTCCCTCTTTCTCTCTCTCTCTGTCTCTCTCGTTTTGTCCATTACGCTTAAGCTTCCGCCTGGCATGACTTCTGCTAACGACAATTTTTACTACGTCAGCAGGCGAGACGAGCCTCCAAGTAAATAGCACACAATACATAGACAGAGACTGGCCTGTATATATGTATGCATATACACATGCATACATATGTGAGTGTAGTGTCTGTGTGTGTGTGTTCCTTTTGCTTTTGCTTAATTTGCAACGACCTTCTGCCATAGATTTGGGCAGAGTCCACCCTCTACTAAGCCACATGTTTTGAGTGCATATTGGCAGGGCGTGAACTTGGTGCAGTGACTGTCAAACTGTGGCAAAAACACACACAGATATATATAGCAGCATGCATAAATGCATGTTTGTGTGCAGTTTAATTAGCTGCGACCTTTTCATGGAAAACCGTTGACATTTGACTTGAACTAAGGACAGCAAAAGAGACAAGGCTGTGCATAACGGGGAGGGCCCTTCAAATTGTTTTTAGCAACTAGTACATTACAAGCTCAAAAATATAAAAGAATTAGTCCCAACTACTTTAGCTAAGTAACTTAATAAATTTATGTATACATGTTGGCACACAGAAAAATTGTACACGAAAAAACTTTCCTTAATGGCCAATAATTAGGGCATAAATTGAGTTAAGCGTCAGGACACGAACCGCCCACGCGCAAAACCACTTGAAGCCACAGCTCAAGGACGGGACACAAAAATGGCAAACTATAAGAGATTTACATATAAAATTCATGGGTACAACACACACTCACACACACATTAACACGCATATACCTAAGGAACTTTGGCCAACTTATTGATCAAACAGCCGGAGTGTCCTTTAACAGATGCATGCTGTGTGTGAGTAAGGGAAATATATGTAGTTAGGGCTGCAGAAAGAAAGAGGGAGAGGACTGAGGGAACTGTAATGTATAAAATCATCAAAAACGTTTAGATTTTCGCACCGACTTCTATTTTGAAAAAAAAAAAAAAAAACGTGATGTAACCCCTTGCCATTTTGTCGATTTGGGTCAAAATTTTGAATTAAGCACTTATGATAGTAAAAGGAAAAGGAAAAAATAAATCAAAGTCAAAGACGAACAATTATTTTAATCATATACTATAATAAGCTTTTAAGTGTAGACACTGTGAAATTTGAACCTCATGTTAAGCGACAACGTACTGCAGTTAAACTAAATGTTAAATCGAACATGTTCTTTGTGAAGTCCATTAAGGCGAAACATTAACAACCCATGGAACCATCGCTGCATTAATCAGGACTTTGTCATGCCTTAGAAAGTATATGCATTTGATTGCGTAGTAGAAGTATAAACCTTGTTTTGTCTGCCACAAACATATGCTCAACATTGTAATTTGATGACTACCGGGTATAATAAGCAGTTTTGAGCTCTAGATTGAGCACATGCAACAGCGCATTCACTTGCCATATGTCTTGTGGCACACACAATTCTCTAGAGACTGGATATTAACTGTTAATTCCAGCAGAGTTGTGTGACCATAAGCCATTTAAGTTGACGGCTTTAGAAATTAAAGTCTAATTCAGTTTTTTATTATTAATATTCGTACAGAAAACGGCTCATTGGAACGGCAACAATCAGAGTTAACTCCCAGCGTTGATGGCTGCCACGAAAATCATTGATGCACCGCGTAACGGTCACGAAATGGCGCCCCTGAACACAAGAGCACGGGGCGACGGCACCCACGGGGTGACCATTGTCCTAACCGCACCGCAACGTAATTCGGTGCAATCGGTGGATATACCAGGGGAACCGGATCGCGCCGCCTGGAGCGGCAAGATGCAGTTCTTTCTCAGCATTATTGGCTATTCGGTGGGGCTGGGCAACATCTGGCGTTTTCCGTATCTGTGCCAACAGAATGGTGGCGGTGAGTATTACCTATCTATCGAATTACCCAAAGCGTCTCCGGTAACAGTCGTTGATCGACCAAAAATTTGCAATATGTGGCACTTTTTTTCCTTGTGTTTTTTGCATTCGCGTGCGCCAATCACTGTCTGCACTTGGCAACCCGATGATAGCTGACAAATCCCCCGACCAGTTCCAATTACAATCCCAGTTCCACTCCCAGCTAAAGTCAATCGGCACCTGTGCGACGTTGATAAAGCTAATTACTTTGACTGCAGCTGCTCATATTGGGTGCAGTCCTTACCAGGGGCGGCGCTTATTATATCGTACAATTGGGCGCCTGTTCAATGGGGCCGCGTATTTGTACGGACTAAGAACTAACATTAGAGCTATAATGTTCTATACGATTAAAAATTATTGGAAGCAACCATTACCGCTCTTAAAATAGTCTTCATTAGTAACATTTTCAATGAGGGCTCTTGGGCTCATTCAGTTCAAGTCCGCTCCTGTGTATTAATTAACATTGTAATCGAAAAACCTAGAGCAACAGCTCGGGCGCCGGCAACAGCTTTTTGTCCTACCTAAGCAACACTTTAATCTGCCAGCTCCTATTATTAGCCCTTTTAGGCGCCTTTCACTCCAAAGTCCGCTCGTGTTCTCTATGTACATACATAGCCGATATCATGTGACTGCTAAAGCTAATCAAATGCGCAGCTTTGACAATAACATTATGAGATTTAATGTGAACTAATTGCAGAGCTTACGATGGGTGAATGGTGCGTTTGGGGGTTTGGGTGGGCTGGAGGGCGGGGGTTATTTGCACATTACTTTTGCGCCTGCCGGAAGAACTTAATTGAAGGGTCTTTTTTGGGCGAACCGGCTTTGACTTGTGCGCCTCGTGCCAAACAACGCATTTTTATTGAAAGTCACATTCCAAGCTTTAATCCCACATGGTTCTTATTCAATTACGAACGAGACGAAAATAAAAGAAGCAGCTGGTAAATGCATCGAAGTGCAAATACCCTAACATATGTATAAGCTGAGAAGCTAGAAATATATAAATGGTTTGGGGCTAAATAATCAACTGAGTTTTGGATATCGCTTTGCATTTTTTAGGTGCATTTCTGATACCCTTTATGATCATGCTGATATTGGAGGGCATACCCTTGTTTCTCATCGAGCTGGGCATTGGCCAGCGCATGCGTTTAGGCGCTCTGGGCGTGTGGAATACCATACATCCCTGGCTGGGCGGCATTGGCATCTCCTCGTGCATTGTCACGCTCTTCGTGGCGCTCTACTATAACGTGATTATCACGTGGGTTTTCTACTATCTGTTTAATAGTTTTCGGGTAAGTCCAAAAGTCGTGCATATTTATTTTCGTTTCTAAATACTCTCACGTTCTACGTTCACAGTACCCGCTGCCCTGGTCCACCTGTCCACTTAATGGTAGCGGCTTTGAGCTGGAGGAGTGTGCCAAGTCATCGGAGACTACATATTTTTGGTACCGCACCACCTTGGATGCGGCGCCCTCGATGGATGAGCCCGGTGGCCTCAAATGGTGGATTGTATTGTGCCTGCTGCTCTCCTGGACCATTGTCTTTTTCATTGTCATGAAGGGCATACAGAGCTCCGGCAAGGTGGTCTACTTCACCTCGCTCTTTCCCTACATTGTGCTCACCATATTCTTCGTGCGGGGCATAACGCTGCGCGGCGCCGGCGCCGGTCTGATGCACATGTACACGCCCAAGGTGGAAAAGCTGCTGGAGCCGACAGTTTGGCTGGATGCGGCCACACAGGTCTTTTACTCATTTGGCCTGGCCTTTGGATCGCTGATTGCCTTTGGCAGCTATAATACGCCCAAGAATAACTGCGTTCGGGATGTGCTGCTGGTATCTGTTTGTAATGCAGTCACCGCCATTTATGCGAGTGTCGTCATCTTTGCCATACTTGGCTTCAAGGCCACTGTCAATGTGGATCGCTGTGTGGCCGGGTAAGTTAATATACCCTATAGAATGGCTAAAAGACGGTATACGGGCCTCGCACCAAAGCATGTAACAGGCTGTAGAGGGCATCTCCCATCCCATAATCTATACTTATTCCCAACCAGAGTCGATGTAGCCATGCTCGTCTGTTGATGAATTTTTACCATATGTATATTCTCATTTATTATCAACTCCGTATAGGGTAACTCCCCCGTCGGGCATTCTCAAGTAGTGCACACTCATTTGTTAAAGGTTGGGGTCGTGTCATTGCAAGTTCAACAGCACGCATCAGCGGGCAGCGTATTGGGTGGGTCAGTTAATCAGTTAGTCGGTCAGTCAGCCAGCCTGTCAGTCGGTCAATCAGTCCATCACCTAGTTGTAACCGCTTCGGGCGGCGGCTTTGTCTATCTTTAGATTTGTTATTTGTTCATTGATAGGCCAATCGATACGCGCTCCTCTGTCCGTCCGTCTCCCTATCTGCCCGTCAGTCTGTCAATTTGTTTCAATTAATGGGCGCTGCACAGGTTTCTGCATTGTGTCCCCGCCCTCTCGCCCGTGCCTTGAGTTATTGACAATTGCTCTTGAACTATTTGCGTGGCCCATTTAAGCTGGTGCCGCTTAGGTATTGAGCTACTGTTCGAATCGCTAGCTGTAGCCGATTTTAGCTAGCTATCCAATAATATCCCCTCTCTCCTTCATTCTATTCCTCTCTCGCTCTCTATTTATAGCAATACGGATATATTGGTCAAGCATGCGCTGCTGCCCTTCAAGAATGCCAGTAGCGAGGATTACGAAACGGCCATACATAAGATAAATGCAACCGAATTCAGCTTATTGCATCTCAGTGAGTGCAGCCTTTCCAAGGAACTAGACAATGTAAGTAGTATATATGGCATACAATATAACTTTGAAAATATTATGCGTAGTACAACATTTGCTTCGATTTCTTTTACACCTGAACCTGATGAGCATTATTTTCAAGAAGAAAAACTCATAATAGTTCTATATTAAAATACATTGCAATTTCTAACTGTTGCTTTTCTTAAAAATTTGTTCATTTTAGGCCGCTGAAGGCACCGGCTTGGCATTCATTGTCTTTACCCAGGCCATAGTCGAGCTGCCCGGCGCACCGTTCTGGGCGGTGTTGTTCTTTACCATGTTACTGTCGCTCGGCTTGGGCTCACAGATCGGCATTCTTGAGGGGATGCTGTGCACGTTGTTCGACATTGACATCATCAAGCGGGTTAAGAAACAACATGTCACTGGTGTGGTATGTCTATTCTGCTTTATTGTCGGTTTCATCTTCTGCACAGGTGCCGGCGAATATTGGCTCAAGATGTTTGATTCATTTGCCGGTACAATTGGTTTGGTTGTAGTTGCCCTAATGGAAATGATTGCTGTTATATTTATCTACGGACATGAACGGTAAGTCCTGACATCCAAATATCAATACACATTGTTGGCTTACACGTCCTTTCACAGCTTCACTGAGGACATCTATCAAATGACGGGCTACAGACCCGGCTTGTATTGGCAGTGGACCTGGCGCTATATTGGCCCAGTTATCATGGTGTGCATATTGGTCTCCTCCATAGTCTTTATGGTCATACGTAACCCTACATATGGCGCTTGGAATGCCGATCTGGTACGCGTATATCTTCAATTTTCCTAAATGGTTTATTAATATTTTCTATGGTACTTTCTAGGGCGTTGTTGAACAAAAGAATTATCCCAGTTGGGTTATGGGCGTTGCTCTGGCAATGATCCTGGCTGGTGTGCTGCCTATGCCTATTGTGTTCCTCATGCGCAGCTTCCAGTGCCTCAAGGTGGATCTGGATATACACCAAGGCTCCATAAGGCGAAATGAAACGACTGCCTCAACCAAGGAAATGATTGATAATGATGATGATGTGAGTGATAAATGGTTAAGCTTGTGTATTACCACCTTCCTTTTTACGGGATCTTTACTTTTGTATAGTACTTGTATCCACATTTTGGTCCAAGTAATTTGTTGTGTTTGTTTCGATACGTATTTAAGCTAAGATACTCTTTCTCTCTATCTCTATCCTTAAATGTAACTAATTGTCTTTCTCTCACTCAATGACTCATCCCACACATTTACGCTTGTTTCTCTATCTAAAAATGCTTTGAAACAATACCGAAAAAATACCGAAAAAATTAACATTCATCACGCTCTTAACGCGCTCAATGTCGTTCAGAATTTGAGTCCGGATATGCCACCGCAAGATTTATTAGCGGCCACACGCTTCACAATTGGAGACTTTGAAGTAAGTTGTTTGTTGTCCCGCCCGAAAACCGCAACCGTACCAATCCCTGAAATACACGCCCCTTAACTTGCTGCTAATCACAAAATTCTCTACTCTCTTCTTTCTCTCTCTTCCCCCTTTGTGTTCTACTCATCTTACAGAACTAGACATAAAAGAACTAAACATGTTTAAAAAAAAGAATACCTAACCTAACCCTTTAACTAACTCAAAAAGTAGTCTCCCGAAAAATAAAATCCGTTCAACGCCTGTCACCCACGCTGTAAGGATAAATTTCACGCGCCGTCTGCCTGACTAGAAAAAACCCTAAACAAAAATCTCACCCATACGTTACGTATCGATTCGAACCGATCCGCATAAGCCAATAAGTAAAATATTAATAATTTAAAAAAAACGCACAGCAAATACTCAACTATAGCAAAAAAAAACAATCGCAATGCCATTTAAATGTAATAGAGTTCGATAAACGATAAAGCGTTAAGCTTCGATAAAACTAGATAACTCGTCAGCGCCTTCTTTACAAAGAACAAGAAAAACTTAAACGTAAAACAGAAAAAAAAAGAAATAAACAAAAAACGTTTACAATTATTTACCAGCAACTTAGTTTAGTGCAATGTTTATAAACGAAATGATAACCAAAAGTTTAGACAAGTAACATTCACCTAGACAGCTCAATATTAGGCTAAGGTCGGCAACTGCAGCTCAAGGGGCTGCTAAGCGAATAAAAGACTCTTTAAATTGGCTAATGAGACGGTTCAGTAATGCAAATCAAGAAGGTAAAGTACAAAATTATATCGAAAATTAATGCGAATTTCAAACCCAATATTTGCCCAACTTTGTGCTCTTGTTATTTTTTGGTTGGTTTTGTATTGTAACGAGTTTCTTCTAAAGAGTTAAAGTATTTATTTTTCAAGAATTTTATTATGGTTTCTAAGTGTTTAAGAAAACAGCCACTGCAAGCGCTGCTTGCGGCGCCCTCTGTTGGTTGTTTTTAGAAAGTGACGCTTTTTGAGAGCTTTTTGTCAGCTTGACGCTTTGTGATATTAAGCATACGCCGCGTGCCCATATGTTTTGTGTTTATCAACAAATAAACTGAACATACAATTATTATTTTAAAGCTTTATATTTAGAATTTATAGCTCAACATATATTAAGTGAAATATTTAAGTGAATTTCGTTTTAAATGAAATATTCTCTCTATGATAACAGGATGACGATGACGATGATGAGAATGACTTTAGTGGGCCCGCGTTGGGAGGTCATGTGAAGACTCAGAGCGATTTCTCAGAAGATGATGAGGAGGACAAGCCCATGACAATGCGTATGATGATGATGCGTCCAACAACAAATGCAAACACGCCCCTCAAAAACCTGGGCACCAATCATCTAAATGTGCCAACAAGCAGAAAGAAGAACTACAGAAAGAACACCTACGATGTGTAGACAAGCAAGTGTGGCAAGGGTAAGCGACCTCTTAATTCTAGAGGTTAGGTCAAAAAAAAAAAAAAAAAAAATATATATATAGAGAACAACATGCTATATATAAATCTGGTCTTGCGATTAAAGCGCAAAAACCATTTATATATTTACACTAAGTATTTTAACATAATTTATATTTAAAAAACCTTAAGTTAAGCAAAAAACAAATTCAACAAATATTAAACAAAGAAATTTAAGAAGATTAAAAAAGAAGCTATAAATATGTAAAACAAAATTGTTAAAATAACATTTTAGTGCACACCTACACACACTCACACACAACTAAACTATGTACAATGAGCTACAATTGAACTAAAAACGGGTCTCTGAAGAGAGTTGAAAAAAAAATGTTTATAATTTCTGTTGCCGTAGCATTTAGTTAAAAACTGTTTTTTAGAATTTAACTGTTGAGCACAATACAATTGTATTTGTGTCCTTATAAACCCTAATACATATATATTATATATATACTATATATAACCCAGTTGTATACCCTGCCTAGCCATGAGAACTTTTAATTGCAAAACGCTTTTTGTAGTGTAACCCAAAGAAACTTTTAACCAAACGCATTTCCAAGAGTTTAACTCATTATTTTTATTTACTTAGTAGCATTCAGTTTCAAGTTGAACTTATCGCGCCCAAATATATATTCAGTTTAGCTCTATACAAAGTTAATTTAAATATATACATATATGTATATGTATAAATGCAAAAGTATTGTAATAATAATAAGAATAAATTCATAAATTTAATATGAAAAGAGATCGAAAAGGTTAGGCAAGTTTAAATATTAACTAAAGAATTACTAGTTCAGTTGTTAACTGCAAATAAAATAAGAAAATACAAAAAATACCAAAAAAAAAACGACAAAAATACTAAAATTTACACGCAGACAAAATAGAAAAAAGTAAAAAACAAAACAGCATGGCATGTGTGATATTCTAAATAATATCCTCGAATTGTAGTCTAAGGAAATATCATCATTTATGTTTATGTTATACAACTTATTTTCACATACAGCCACTTGCTTCAACCTAATCTCAAATATTTCAGTATTTTAATATTTTCTGCCCTCACATGTTTATTTTTCACACACTGAAAGTATTTTCTTATATTCAAAAACAAAAAGAAAACTGCTGTGAATAGTTTTAGTGGTTGTAAAATGCTATTACAAGAGAAAGAAGAATTACAAGAAAATAAACGTTATGATTAATTATATGAATAGTTCTTAAGACGGCATTAAATTTTGATCTGACTTAAAAAGAAACAAAAGCAAACTCATACACTCACCTATGTTCCCTTGATCAGGTTCTGAAAACATAATCCTATTTCAAATTCGGTTTCCGCAAAGCACTGCAACAGGTTTTTTATAATCAATCCAGAAAGCACACACATCCAAAAAAAAAAAACTAGAATTTCTCGATTTCGGATCAGGCAAGATAACTGTAATCAAAAAAAAACATGGAATTTTTCAAAGTACTCGTAAACGGCAAACGTTGAAGACAATAAAACATAAAATTAGAACAAAGAATACTTATGATATGAGCCTCGTCGCTATTTGTGAATGTGGGCCACCAACTTGACAGTTTCGATGGATTTTTATTATTTTGAAAACCAAACAGAAAATCAAATTGCTTTGCAGTGAGAAAAATCCTACAAATAACCAGTATCTGGAAGGGCTATATAAAAAAGAAAACTTATAAGAAAAGAGCCCACCCAAAGCTCGACAAATGTACCTTGCGCAGAGACAGGTGGTTGGTTAGTTGGGTTAGTTGATAAGCTTATAGACGGCGAGCTAGAGCTAGAGACATGAGAGTTAAAAGGCCAAACAGTTGTTTTGTATATGTTAGTTATATATATTCAACTCAAAGATTGATATAGGAACTACTCGTAAGTGTTATAAGCATAGCGCTCCGCAGAAGAGTTGAAGAAGCATACGAAAGCCACAGTTAAGCCCATCATGTCATATCCTCGCAAACCGTAAACCGAAACCAAATAGTTACCAAATTTAATTGTATGGTTTATTTTCACCTTATTCCTAACTCGAACATACGATCCTATAAACATATTCTATATCAATTATTGTCGTAGGGCTTAAGAGAACTAAGCGATATATATATACATATATACATAAATATACAATTATGTATGCGAACAAAATGGACTCGTGTAAATTTGATTGTATTTAAAACGTAAAGTGAAATTACTTATGTGAAACATTATTATGATATACGCAGGTAATTATTATTTAAATAAAGATATATTAATAAATAGTGCGTTAAGTTCAAGAACAAGAGAAGTTTGTGTTTAAATGAAGAACTTATTTATATAGTGTTTGGATGTTGGCCTTTACCCAAAATAATGCATTTGTAATAACTGGGTGAAATAATTAATTATCTTATTATAATAATCAAGATCAAAGCATTCCCTAAATGTCTAGTAAACAATTTCTTCAGTTTCCAAAAAAATAATTATTAGGGTATTGCTGACTTGACTTTATTTTCTGGCAACACATACAAAGTTCTGTGTAATATTTTCTACAGGGTCTCGAGAACGAAATTTATGGAGGTGTGTTATTCTATTCATTACGATTTTTTGCTGTTTTTTTTTTTTCTTAAGTTTGTTTTCATATTTGTCGCCAGCACTTTGCACTGAGAGTAAAGCTTGCCAAAAGCTGAAAACGCTCATTCACAGATTAGGCTTATCGTCAGGTTCAAGTTTCGTTTGGCAAATTTGGTTTTTGCAGCGGTGCAAAAGTAGCACTTGATAAGTCCAAAAAAAAAGCAACGCTCTACCTCTCCCTTTTTCATCATCTGTCTCTATCTCTCTCTCTCTCTCTCTCTCTCTGTATTTCTTTCGCTCTCATTGAACAGCGTATTATGCAAGTGCAGCGTGTGTGACCTTAGTTCAAGCAATTAAAGCAGCTATAACGGTAAAAATACCATTTAATATGACATTGAGTCCCTGAAGAATGCCGCCTCGTACGCGGGAATAATATTAATAAACATTTTCGATATTGATCAATTGATAAGCTTGGCATATGTCAACAAAAGTGAAATCTTTGTTAACAAGAGTTAGGTATTGACAAGAAGATGCCCTGTACTGAGTTTTCGAAAAAATGCCTCTTGTCTGGAGCCTTTCGGGAATTGCATAATGACAGATCTTATTTCACTCGGTGTATTGTGCTTGCACTGTTCGGTAAATTATGAAGATTTTCGTATTGGTTATTAGATACCCTTCATATTATATCAGAATAATTTGTTCGACCCGAAAAGGCTCTAATGCACAACTAGAAGATGCCCTATATTTAAATAAATTTAGGAAACTGAAAGCAAAATCCAGAAAACCATTATTTCAACTTTGTATAAGCATATTTCTAAGTAGCCTAATATGCCCTTTTGCTACTGTGTATCATATATAACATTGTGTAGTGTTCAGCAATCGTGAAATACTCTAAGCATGCTCGTGGCTTTCGCTTGGTAGCTCAGCAGCTCCTCATTCAATATACCCTTTGCTGTGCACTTACTGCAGGGTATGAGAAATCAAAGCCGTGTACAACTACACGATAAGCCGCGTCTACTGCTGCTTCTGCTGCTGCTGCTTATGGTTTCGATGTCAGCTGATGGATGATGTAAGCTTAATTCGGGGCAGACGCGCAGCAGGCCACAGGCCACAAACATTGATAAGGAAGCCGTTAAATTGAAGATGGGGCAAGAGAGCGAGACAGCTGAGTTGGGCGGATAAAGTTGTACGGCAAGTGAATTGAGTATAGCAGCAGGAGGCGCGGCGTCTGGTGCATGCGGTAGGCGGCACGTAGCAAGCGGCAGGCAGCGTGGGCACGGCTGTTATCTTATCAGCCAACCGGCTGTGCATAAAAACAGAAAGAGCGCAAAATAAAGACACACACATACACAAAGCGAAATGGTAGACAAAAATGTACATATGTACAAATACTCTCAACAATTTGTAGTACATCTGTTACTTAGGCGCACCGACTGACATAGAGTTTCAGTTTCGATTGTTGTGTGAACGCAGCAACAAGTGCCCCGGCAGCAACATCAGCAACAGCAGCGACAGCAACAGTTGCCGAAGCGCAACAAGTGCCACGAGTGGAGGCAGATACTGGCAACTAGAGAGAACGAGACCGAGACCGAAAGCGAGTGAGGGGGAGCAGTTGGAAGAGCTAAACGCGCGACACGTCCCTTCAATTAGTTTCTGCAGTTATATTTAAATTTAAATTCGCATTAAGACTTGGCAATTTGATCAAATTAAACGTTAGCGCAAGACGA